GGTGACTGAGGGTGGGATGGATGGGGGGACTGCACCCTGGAGGGCTGTTTGGGGGAGGGAGGGGCTGTGTCCCCTGTGTGGTAATGAGCGGAAGCCCAGGGTATGAGGGGCTTTGGGGGATGTGGTTAGGGGACTGCTGTGGGGAGGGGGTGAGGGGGGTCAGGAGGTTGTTTGGTGAGGGGCTTTGCAGCGGCTTTCCTAACGTGTGGCCAGACAGGGGGGGCTTTGAGATCCCCTTCTTCCATCCCTGATCCTCCCCAAGGGTTTGCTGGTTGGGGAAAGAAGGGGATTGAATCTCCCAAGGAGCAGGAAAAGCACCTGGAGCACGAAGGGGAGCGGGGGGGGCATTTGCTTGCCGACTGCCCCATCCCGAGCCATCAAGGTGTCGAAGCTGTTATCAAAATAACCCACGCAGCACGGCAGAAGCGCCTCGGGGAAGAATAAGCAAGGGAATGAAAGGCCCTGGCGTTGCAGGCGAGAGCTTGTCAGGCTCCTTTCCCCGGGGTACAAAGGCTGGCCGGCTTGATTTGTGGGGAAGGCAGTTCTGTGACAAATGGGGAACTCGGTGAAACTATTCAGGTCCCCCCCCCACCCCCAGCAGCTGAAGTTGAGGCTGTTTGAATAGCGAGCGCGGGGGCGAGGGGTTCGTTGTGGTCGATGCGCTGGAGCGGTTTTAATTGGAGGCAAGTGTCTTTGCGGAGAACAGTTGCGGAGAGCAAAGAAGCAGGTGGCAAATTCTGGCTTTCCTAAACCCGTATCTATTGCTGAGTGGCCGCACTTGGTGGTGACTAAACAGAAAACTTGCGTCAGTAAATATTCTGCTGCTTCCAGTACTTTTCCTCTCTTTTTTCCCTGTTTTCCGGGAAGTTTGTTTCTAAAATGCCATGGTTATTTTGTCAGGTCTACCCGTATTTGACAATCTGTTGTCAATGTCATGCTAAATTCCTTTTTAAATCTAGCAGTGGCGTTGTGTTCCCATTCAGTTACGAGCATGTGCTCGCTGAGGATAAGTATTATTTGTGTGCAATTTCTTTTTTAGAACTGTGTAAGGAGATAATCCCATAAAGATCTCTGCAGCTGGTTTACTGCTAATGAGCCTTGGGGGGCCCTATTGTGGATGGGGAGGAACTCCTGGGCATGCTCAGTGGAGTTTGATGCTACTGACAAAGTTGCTTATCTTCTGCGAAAGAGATAACACGAGGGATCTGTACAGGAGATGAGTCAGAGGAGCAATAGCCCACAGTTGTATTTGTGCCAGTTCGCGTTTGGCTTTGGAGCGAGAGGGTTACGTTACGTGCGTGGGCACCTGTAGAACTTCAGCCTTCCAGTGGCTGAATTGTTAAAAAGAAATAGATGTATTTTATTTCTTTTGTAAGACTATTACAGTTTCTTTAGGAATGAAACCGAGCAGGTTGCGACTGTTTTTTTTCCCAGAGTGTCTTGTAGGACATCCCTGACTTGCAGAAACAACCGAAAAGGCATTTGATTATTCGACTTGTTCACCCGTGCTGCAGTTGTAGATTGTCTTAGTAGCGTTGGAGGTTTGCTCACAGGAAAACACACCTACATTTTGATTTTGTGGAAACCTTCCAGAGATTTATTATGGGAAGATATCGACACTGGTTAGATTGTAAGAGATCCATCAGCGTGGACGAGCCTGCCCATGCTGTGCAAATTCCTTACCTCGTCGTGTGCAGTATAACCTCGGACTTACTGTTGGTAGCAAATAGAATCTTTCCATTAACGTGTCATATAATATTTGTAGTCACTCTCAAATCCTTTCACGAGTTAGAGAAAATTTATGTCTCCTAATTGCATTAGGCTCATAGGGTAACTCTGACATTTTAAATTAAAGCATATTGACGTTGCACCCAGATAAATTGCCCAACCTTTGTGTGCTTGCTCAGGAAAAGATGTTATGGATTACTAGTTAACTCTAAGTTATTCATTAGGAAATTTGGACGTGGTGAGTAAGTGTTCTTGATAATGCTATCAGAACCTTAGCTGCTTGGTGTAGGTGGGTTGTCAGCAGCATTTTGTTTATTTCCTTGTAAGGTGTAACCGTTCCTAACAGAGATCTTGGTGAAGACCTGAGCAGGGAAGAAATACTTGAGGCAGACTTGTCCTCATTTGTGGAAGCATCTGCTGTGGGCTAAAACAATCAGGAATAGAAAATCCAATAATGATTCTCATTCCGTGACATCGGTCAAGTTATATGTTAATAACAAGTTTTTCTAACCTGGTCAGGAAGGAAAAAAATATGCTGCCCTACTGTCTGTTGGGGAAAAAAAGAGTTTCTTTTGTTTTCCTTCACAGTATAAGGTGTAGAGTTCAAACATTTCTGTGAAGGTCTCTTTTTTAGTACTTGAATGTAAAGTAAATAAGGATTGGGCATTAGAAGAAGGGGATTTTCTTTCAGGATACATAAACCAGGAAAGCGCAGACGGCTTTGCAACTTTAAGTTTAGTCAAACCTGGAAGGATGACTTCATCACTGTGGATTTTTACTTCTCTTCCAGGGTTTGGTCCATTTGGAGAGCATGCTGTTAACGCCAGTTGGATTGCAGTTCAGGTAACACTATAACTTCGTTCTTAACAAGTTAAAACAGAGCACTGTGCTGATAACGTATCCGTACACATTTTAGTTTGCAGCTCTTTTATAACTTGTCTCCCCAGTTTATTAACTGAGACCAGCTCGCTCCAGATATCCAGATGGTCAGCTGGATAATGTTTTATTCACTTCTCAGAAAACAATCCCTTAGCTAGTAGAATTTAATGAGATTGAGTTAATGTAGCTGAGGCAAGTAAGGAACTCGTAGGCTAACTCGCTAGGTTTGAAAGATGTTAAATGGGGCAGGGAGCCTGGAATCTTCCTCTGCCGCAGAGAATTCAAAATAAATAAACAAACAAACCCAGAAGAATTTTAATGTTTTCTCTCTGCTCTAGCTTGAACCTGGGCAAGTTGGTTAACCTTTAAGCCAAGTCTCGTCTGCAATGAGACTTCCACCTGGTAGTCTTGTGGAGTTGAGCAGAGGTGCCCGACGTGGGTCTGAATGTCAGGACTCTTAACTCCGAAGCAAAGCAGCCGCCGCTGCCTCCTTTTCCCCCTCGGTTCCTTCTGTGACCGCCTGCTTTTGGCTGCGGCAGGTGAAGCAGGAGACGTGGGGGGATCAGGCTGTGTTTGTTGCTCCGGAGCCAGCCTCCTCTCTGCTGGGAAGCAGCATCAAGTGATGCTTGACTGAGGGAGTTGGATCTTGCTGGAGATAGGAGTGCTTGTGGAGGACCGTTGCTCGAGCAGATCATACGCCCTCGAACAAATCAAATTTGTGGCACTTGTAGCCACATATTTGCAGGAAGATGTTCATCTGTGTAACATGGATACATTCACAAACGAGGCACGAAGAAGAAATCAAACTCTTGCTGGATGCCCAGCTAAACTGAGGAATTGAGGTTGCTTGCTGTAAAAACATTAGCTAGGGACAGTGCTGCCACATTATCCCACTTCTTCCTTATTTGTCACTTCTGGATGTGGTTTATGACAAAGCTACTGGGAATTCCAGGGTACCTTTTAGTACAGTTGCTCAGGGAATTAAATCTGTTTTTCTCCCCAACACATCTCTCTTCCCTTCAGACCTCCGAGATTAATATCTTCTTTAGAATGCTTTTAAATTAAATCACAAACTCTAATCAATTACAGTCTACTAATGTCCAGATGTCTAATGTGTTGGCTGGTATGAGAAGACGAAACCTTTGCCTCCGAGAACCTTTTGGAAATGAATATATTTGAGTTAGGGTTTGCTCGGTTTAAGTTTGGGGGAAAATGCAAGCTGTGTATGTGGAAAAAAAATTACACGTTACTGAAATTTAGTAGTGAGGCTAATTGATTTGGTTTGTTCTTACTCGTGTACTGTAAGTTATGGTAAACAAGCTACTTTTATT